AGACGGCCACCGTCATCAAGCGCTTTGGAGCATGGGCCACCAAAGCGCTTCCGCAGGGAATTGTCAGTGAGACCTCTTCCTCTCAGGGGCTTCCGAGGTCGTGGTTTGTCCCTTCAAGATAAGAGTCGACTGATAAAAGCACGGAAGTTTAGAGCGGAGTCAGTGGCCCAGTTCAAACTGCCTCCACCAAGGCCAAGAATCTCGGAGAGAGTCCAGAATCCCAAGCCTCAGACTGCACCAAAGAATGCCAAAGATTCCCCAGGAGTCCCACCACGGAAGTTATCACTCAAAAAGATGCCATCATCCAGAGAGTCGTCCCCCCACACAGACTCCAAGACTGCAGAGCCTGAGAGGGACTCGGAAACAAAGGTGGAATCCCGTCGCTCTGTGAGCGCACACAGGTATGGTATCACCCCTCACACTGTGGCAATGGGCGCGTGATGTTTAGAAGGTCAAGCTTCCTGTTTTTCAATGGCACAACTTTCATCAAAGGGGTGTCACCTTGTCAGATGAGATGGATGAGGAGAGAATAAAGAAAATCATGCCTGTTTTCCTCCTCATTATTGACAACAGTATGATGTTAATCCTGACCTTGTCAAGAGAATGTGATAAGAGATAAGTCTGAGCAAGTGGTCTTTCAAAAGTTTCACAGTCGCAGTCCTTTTTGTTCCAAAAGTCAAATGCCATTTGTTCCACAATGATGCATCCAGATCTCTGACCCTCTGACCCAGAAGAGATGTTTAAAATGTCTTCCAGGGAGGGAAGTGCTTTTTAAGCCTTAATCTTAAGTGTTTGCAGAAGGACGCTCTGCCTCATTATGCAACTAACTGCAGTAACCATGAGCAAAATTCAGTCTGTCACTGCTACGTCGTACGGACATAGGATAAGATGTCTTGGAAAATGGAAATGTGAATGGATTTCATAGCGAATGGACAAGAATTCCATTTCTACAGTTACGACGTTTAGACCCTGTCATTTGATATTGTTCCCTTTGAAGAACTTGATTGGTTGGATGAAGAAACCACAACTCTGAGGCTGTACTCGATTATCAATGGAAACCAGATTTGTTTGCAAGAAGAGAAAGAACTACCATTCCTTGATAGAATTAATGAAAGATTTGGTCAGCATCGGATCAGATGACCATGTTCAAAAGAATGAAACTCCATGTCCAATAACCTCAGGAATGCCTTGAAACTGCACCCAACAACAGGCCTCTACGTGTGAGGAAGACACATGCACTTTCTTCTGTGACAGATCAGAGACATCAACAAAATGGACATTCTTTTTTGTCACATCCCTCCTTTGTAACTACAGTCCTTTATCATCACATGGGTGGTATTTATGAAAGATTTAGGCTCTTAAATGCCTTTTATCCTTGGCATTGCAGCATTGACGACAAGCAGGGATCATGTTATCTTACACAACCAAACCATTGGCTGAAAAGGCAGGAAGTTGGAGTTGTGCTGAAGATAAGACCTGATCCAGTTGTGCCTAATGAAACATTTGCCAAAATGTCAAGCATTAATTTATAGTCGTAGAAGTTCTGCAACTGAAGAACTATCCAAGCAAGTTTAGTTCTAAACACCTACCAGTTATGTGAAGATGGATATGATACCCGAGTTTGAAGGTTCTGCAGTTTATTCAAGGAGAACTGGCCAAAAATTTCTAGAGAAATCAGTCTCGTATTGGGAAGATGCTCTCAGTGAAACTTTACCTCAATACCATCGCAGAATCCAGAGCTGCAAACCAATGTTTATACCATGAAATGCGTGTTCCAGCATGAAGCGTTTGCAGTCTCCCAACACATCTAATCAAGTATGAAAGGATAGGTCGAGAGGAATGTGTCTGGCTTGTCAAGTCTGGATAAAAAGGAAGCGCTCGCATGCCTGTCTGTTCACTTTTTGGAGCGTAAAATGATTCCTACATGACGTTCTTCAGTCCACTCATTCAGTCTGCCTATATCAGTTATTCACGTTAGCAAAAGGAAGGCTGCTAAAGGCCAAGGTGAATCAGGGAAAATTAATCTACCAATTCAAACTGAAGCATGGCGATGATGGGCTTGCTTTGCTGTAAGTACCCATGTAGTAATCCATCATTGGTCCTTCTGCATTTGCAACAATACAATTGGGTTCTTGAGGACTGTGAATGTTTGAGTAATTTAGTTTTGAAGTGCAACATTTCTCTCCTCAGATCACGAGGCACAAGCTTATTCAACTTTGAAATCAGATTACATTGTGCATGCCTTCTGCTTTTTCTAAATGCTTGATGTTTAGAATTTATTCCTTAAGTGCCCAGATGATGTGGATGATGACTTCAAATGCCTCGTTGACTTTCTTTTCAGCTCTTCACCAATAGGCCGACGACTTTCACCTGATCTTGTTGTGGTTTCCCATTGGGAGGCGGGGCACAAACCCAGCACTAGCCCTAAGAACAATACACCCTGGAGGAATAAGGCACCCAAGAGCAAATCTGGTAAAAGTCTGAATGATTTGCAAATAATTTATTCTGTAGCCGCATGCTAGTATCATGTAACGTTCTTAACTTTTTTTTGTTCTTAATTTTCTTGATCTTGCAGAGGAATCAGAATCTCATGGAAATTTAACACTGAATGAACGCTTCACCAAGCTACAAAGTCCTATTAGATCTTCACAGGAGCAGAAAGAAAGACGGTAAGTGAGGAACTGTATTCCCGTTCTGTTACAGCTGCTAAATCTTAACAATTTAGTTGAATGCAACCCTTTACAATTTTTGTAGGTCTTCTGCAAGTCCAGAAAAAACCCTGAGGAAGCCTGGATCATTTCAGGTAATTAAAGTCTTAAAACGTTGATCTATTTTACTCCTCAAGAGTGCTTTAGAAGTAAAAGCATGTCTTGGGTTATATCACATTTTCAATGTGTTAGTCATTTTTGTTATAGTGATTTGTAGTGAAACACGTTTCTCTATACATAGAGGCCTAATTTCCAGCCAACTGCTGGAGTGAAGAGGGGATCAGCCCCTGATGGAGTTACTAGGAAACCATTGATGGTAAGCGATGCTTGTTGGTATACTGTTTTTGAACTGAATAGTTTTATTATTCATTCCCAACACTGAATAATAATAACAGTTATACACAATTATTATTTAACTGTCTAGTCTTTGTAGTAAAAAAGGCTTTATTTGGTTTATGTTGTTTCCATGCACATTTAAAAAAAAAAAAAACTTTGTCCTCTAAGGGCACTTTAATTCCAAGACCACCCTTCAATCAGAAGCCTGTCTTCAAGAAGAGTCAAAGTATCATGTCAAAGTACAAGAACCTGCAAACGTTGCGGCATAAAGTGCCTCATCAGCGTCAAGCCACTAGCTATCGCCGGTGGTAGCCCAAAATGGTGAGTCTAGTTTCATGCACCTTAATGATACATAATTGTATTTTTTTGTTGAATATTCAGTCACTTAACTATTATCCATTAATATTACTTTTTTGTAGATTGCATATGCTGAAGCAAGTCGTCCACTGTAGAGCCTTTTTATGGAGCTCCTTTACTCCCTCGCCTTCTCTTATCTCCTGTTGTACAACAGTTTGAACTAATCTCTAAAAAAAAAAAAAAAACCCGCAAATATCACCAAAGTATTATTTTTCTTCTATAGTAGTTTTTTTTTCTCTTTGGTGTGCTTTAGAGATAAAGTCTCGAATTCTGTGCTTTTGTCTCTTTAGAGTTTCAAAAACAGATTAGCATTACATTTTTGTATATACATTTAACCTGTACAAAAGCTCTCTGTTTGCCATCATTTTGTGAAAATATGATTTTTAGCTTTGGTTAGAATTCTTTTTCGACATGTGGTTATGTTTATACATCAGTGTCTGAATAGCTGCTTTTTGAAAGCGACTGGTAAAAAGACTCATATCATGTGAAACGATCCTTGTAGAATGCTGTATGATGACTAGCTTTCATTTGATGAAATGAACTGAGTTTGTTTGAGCTCCATGTGTTGATAAATGGCTTCCCTGAAAAGTTTTGTTTGTGTAGCTCATAAAACACATATGTACATTCTTTGTAATCAGACACTTGGAATAAAACTGGAATTGTCAGATGCCTTCCGTTGTGTGAAATCAAATACTATACTGCTTCTTGCAGTTTGCACGTTTGCGTGCAGGATTCCCCTCACTCTTTGAATGTACCTACATTTCGGATACATGGATTCTGAGAGTAGACTATTGAATGCTCAGTCAGTCACAAAACCTACCAAAAATTCTGACTCATTTGTAACCTTGCTTTTGATTCATGTGATGTGGCGATGGTATCTCAGCAGTTTAATGCTGAATTCTTTCCAACCTATGTATTTCTGTCATCCAGTCTGATATTGAATTTCCTGCAGCAATGTTAAAACAATGTTTTTTGGCTAATACATAGATGCCCAATCCAGTTCCTAGAGAACTACCTTCCTGTTGAGTTCAGTGCCAACCCTGCTCCAACATGCCCATCTGTAATAAGTGTTTCTAAAGGTTTTATTTATCTGGTGAAGGTGTTTTTGACTAGGGGTGGAGCTGAACTTTGCAGGAAGGTAGATCTCAAGGAACAGGTTTGGGCACCCCAGTCTTTGCTCAAAGATGGATATTTTTAAAGGTAATAAACATACTGTTGACCTGAACATTGCACATTAGTTGTTGAGGCTTACGTAAAACCACATATGCGGAGTAAGACCTTGATATCCTAAAATTCTGATATCTGGTGTTCAAAAGAGTGGGAACCCTGTCAAGTTTTATTTGTATAGTGCTTTTTATAATATACACTATTACCAAGCATCTTTACAGATAACATTAATGTTTATAATACCTTAATGCCTAGCTCTATGCATTTAGCAGTTTGGAGCTGGTGATAGGGGTATGATAAAAACAATCGGAACAGCTGAGTTGCTATAGTGTATCACTTTATATGAGTTTACTGAATATATGTAGCTAAATATATAGAAATTGAAAGTTGGGAACATGTATTGTGAGAAAAAGCAACATAAACCGAATTATGAGCAGCATACACAACATCCAGACTTAATTGAAAAACAGTTGTTTTAGTAAATAACACAAAAATCAGAAAGCAGGTTGAATATTACAAAGAAACGACAATAATGATCAAGTCTCTTAATCTGGTAATAGATGCAGTTATAACTTCCAGTTGCTTAATTAAGTTTAGCTAATTATCACTGCAGTTAGGATCTTAACTAGCTGGTTCTAGGGCTTTCAGGACAGTTGAAACCCGAAAGCATCTTCTGTCTTTGTCTGATCCTTATGCCTCGGCCTCTTTCAGAACATCATCTTTCTGTCGGAAGTAGTCTCTGAACCAGTCAATATGTTCTTTTTTCTGTTGGACCGTGAGTTGGTGATTCTTTGCGAGGCCTGTGATTACAAGTTCCATGAAGTGCCTGACTGGACCCTGCCGGGGGAATGATTCATCAAGGTGCTTCTCCAGGAACACATGCTCATGGAAGGGCACACTCGCCTCCTCTTCCAGGCCTGAAAAAGTTGCACAAAGAAAAGTTTAAGATAAGGTACAGGATTTAAAAACTTAAAGCTAGATGCAACCTATTCTTGCAGTGGAACTCACCAGCCTCATTGTTGATTGGATATTGCCAAAGTTTGCCATCTTTGGTCCACTGGATCATCTCCTCAAAGCCATTCCGAGGCGTTTGATTTGTTGCCTGGATAATTTGATTAGCTAGATCAATGTCCCAAAGAGTAGGGCCTGAAATTCAGTGCGGGGAATGGGACAGGGTAAGTAAATACACTCCGTTTCACTTGGACATGCTCAAATGTGCCAGTTGAATGGTGTTTATACCATAAAACAGAACTTTTCCTTACCCAGATCTGACAGTGTGTCTTGCTCCATGCCTGCAGTAAAGATGTTCAACCTCTTACTAGTGAAGGGACTCTTCCTTTAAAACAAAACAAAATGCACAAGTTTAGTGGGAAAATATATTTAAAAAGAACATTTTAGGGAAGTTTTTTACCTTCTGCGTACTGCATCAAGTTCACCGGTAATGCCTCTGTCTTGAGTATATCCCTTTCCGTCATCATCAAAACGAATCTGACTGGTAGGTCTGGCGTTTGATCTGCCATTCGTCCTCCTTCCGACTTTCATATCTGCAATTATGTGTCTGAAAGTTTTGAGATATCACATAATTGTTCCAACAAATGTACCAATGTTACACTTTATTTACACCATAAGGTCTATAGTTTTATTAACAACTTTCACAACAAGCATTTTTATGCAATCAAAATCACAGAAATAGCAACAGATTTTTTCGTTCTTATTGCAATGTACACCTAAGTGAAACAGATTATGGAAAAAAATGTAGGTCACAGACTTGGTCTCATCCATCGCTTGTTGATTGAATGGCGGCAGATATGAATGCGAGCCGTAGTCGATTGTACGAAAGGGGCGGGTCTAAGCAGACTAAATGATTGGACAAGTCCAGCACACATCAACTGAAGTCTGTTGTTTCAATGGAAGATCAAACTATGATGTTTTGATTCAAAATTTCAAGCTCAAATTATTATTTTTTTTTATGTAACTTTACACTAAGTTTAATAAGAAGCATTTAGGAAACAGACATCTGAATTGAGCCCTACCCTATGTTCTGTCCTTCTGCTCTCCTCTGGGTGTCAGGTACGGCTTCATGTTTCCTCAGCTGCTTAAGAAGCTCTGACTCGGCCTGATGTCTGTTTGGCAGTGTGGATGCAGCGGCAGAGACTGCAGCAACCAGCGCTGGATTCAAGGTCCCACTAAAGTACAGAAAATACAGAAAAACTTCACTTCAGAGTGGATGCATTGTTTGCTAGTCAGAAATTAAAAACGTATTAAATAATACATTGTATCATATAATCTTAATTTATTAATCTGAGACTTGTGATTTAGCTATTAGTGTATACATATACAGGTGCATCTCAATAAATTAGAATGTCATGGAAAAGTTCATTTCAGTAATTCAACTCAAATTGTGAAACTCGTGTATTAAATAAATTCACACGACATTCTAATTTATTGAGATGCACCTGTATAAAGTTGCTGTCATCGGAGGCCTTTTAGTTTCAGCATTACCAATTTGTGGATGCATGTACATATGTATAACTCACTGCTGTTGTGAACCTTCAGCTGTGGCATGCTGGAACATGCTGTGTGCGCTTTCCATGGGCTCTTGGTCGGCCCTCTCACTCATTCGTGGTGTCTTTGAGGGTCTTATTTTGCGTACGGTTGTGACCTCCACCTTCATTGCCCCAAGTAGCTCCAAAAGACTCTCCTTGCCACTTTTTGTCTTTTCAACCTGCTTGCTGTCCTCGGGTTTATCCACTGTTTCGGTCTCTAACTGTGATGCCAATGTTGCATTTGAAATTTCGGTGCACTCATTCATTTCGGTGCTCTTCTGCCCATCAGTGTTAACCTCTTCTTTCGCCTCATTCTCTTCTGGTCTCTTTTCTTTGTCTTCTGACAGGGATGTGGAGCTCTCTTTATTTTCATTAAAAGAGATGCTACTGGTTCCTAATGGCCTTGCTGTGCATGGGGCCCTGAAATAAAGAAATTAGATCAAATGAGTCTTCATAATCAAATATAGAATTAATACATGGGCTGGAATGTATATTTACATTTATTCATTTAGCAGACACTTTTATCCAAAGCGACTTATAAATTAGGACAATAGAAGCAATCAAAATCAACAAGAGCAATAATATGCAAGTGCTATGACAAGTCTCGGTTAGCCTAACACAGTACATGTAGCTAGGTTTTTTATTTTATTTTTTGTTATTTATATAATAGATAGACTAGAAAAGAAACAGAGAAAGCTAGTGTTAGAGGCCTTTTTTAAAGAAATCAAGCAGTTAGAAAACGAATAGAGTGCAAGAGATAGAGGGTCAAGTGTTTTTAAATAAAAAACAAATAGATAACATAGAATTAGAATAGAGAGTGCATACATTGCAAACACATAATCCACACGCAAATGGAAAATGCTGCAGGCTAATCAAGTGCTACTTTATTCTGATATCTGAGATATTTCAATTTCAGATTGAGATTTTTAACTGTCATAAACATAATTCAACCAGATCAGAGCTGTCACTTGTCAGTGTCTTAAATCTGTAACTTACCAGATAACAGGAGCAAAACTCTCCCTCTCTTTACATTTGGTGGAAGGTAATCGTGTATTCTGCGTATGAATTAATCCATTTCGAACCTGATAAATATTTATTAACAATCTTCTATACATGATTAACCCCTCTCAGAAGACCTCAATGTCGTCCATGCACGTTTCCCTGTGCAGCACAATCAACTGTCCGGCAGGCTCCTGCTTGAGACGTATAAACGTTCCGGGCGCCTTTTTCCATCGACTAAAGATAACCTACGTATCATTTGTCACTTATTACGAGTGTTTGGACATTCAGCAATTTTATCTGTTTTAATCTGTCTGTATCACATACATTGCTTTAGGATAATTAAATCGGATTGCAACATGAAAAGGGAACCGTTCATAAACTGGTCCATGGGAGGGGTCCGCTGTCAACCTCCATCCCTGCTAGTGATGGGAAGACCGAGTCATTTATGCGAATTGGTTCTTTAGAACAGTTCGTTTAAAAATTATTCATTGAATCTTTAACGCCACGACGTGGCCTTTGACATCTCTGCGTGGCATTTTACCTGCGTTTCAGCAATGCGTTTTTATTGTTTTTTTCAGTAAGGCTGTTCACTGTAATTGAATGTGAGCGTTTATTAAAACCATCGTTTATTTTGCACCATATTTCAGCTCAGTCCTCGATGAATTCGTAACCGTATACTACTAGCATACTACTGTAATGTTTGCCATAGAAGCACATGGTAAAAGTAGAAAGAATACCGTGCTAGTGTGCTATATTCACGGCTCACTGAGTTCATCGGAGTCTGTTTAGTGTTCACTGAGTCGAGAACTGCTCGGGCTGAGAGTTATGTTCGTGACCGAGTCATTGGGATTTGTTTAAATTATTCATGTAAAAGATTCGACTCATTTGAACGATTCGTTCACGAACCAGACATCGCTATTCGCTACATCCCTTCTTACATGCGGAGATTGCGGACCCCTTTGGAGAGGTCATGACTCTGATCGCAAATGTATCAGATCGGTAAGGAGCCAGCATGAATCAATCCATCTCTCTACATATTTTCGTTGTAAGCGCTTTCGTGAAAAAAGTAGGCATGCTTGGTGAATGCTTATTGTGAATTTTACGGTGTCACAGTTTTACTTTTAAGATGTTCAATCTCGCTATTCGTAGTGTTCAGTTCAGGTGATGCAAGAGCACGTCTGTCTGGAGCCAGCAGTTTTTGGTCATACTTACATAAAAGACAGCCACATAACAGCAAAAAAATGTTGCATCAGAAAGGCGTTTCTACTGAAAATAATCGCTGTGGTTGAAGAGCATGGCTTTGTGTGAGTTTTTCAAACCCACGTGGTCTGTCATTGTAGCTTGTGACTTTCTCCAGTCGGCACCCTGAACTTTGCTACTAAATGAAACTTGAGATTCAGCTCCATGCTGTCTGCTTATGTAACTTTACGCAGTTATGTACAACGATTTAGTTCTACTTCAAACGTACTGTAACTAAATCAACAACAAATTCTGAGTGTTAAGTATCTACCTACTTTGTTTTGGTAAGTTTTATGGTTTACTTCCTAAAATACTAAGTAAACTTACCATGATGAACTCATTTTTTCTTCTCTCTGTCTCGTCTTTTGCACAGATCTTTGATTTAGGACTTTTTGGAGCGCTTGGCACCTTTCATCATGGCTCCACATCCTGTGGTTCAGGCAATGATAGACCTCTCTGCTGGTGCTATAGGTAACTTCACCTTACTTCAGGGTCATTCTGGGGCACAATCGGGTACATATTCCTGGGCCCTATGATGATAGAGTGGGGATTCACTTTATTTCAGCAGCACCATCTGCATTGTAAATCCTGTCTTTTGTCAGCTCTTATCTGACCTTTGAGCGGTGTGTTTTTGCTTACCCCTGTGGTTTCACAGTCGGGACCCATTGTCTCAGCAGTCCCTACACCACACACACACACACACACACACACACACACACTGACTTGTTCCGTCTGGCTTAGATCATGCTGATAGATGGGTGAGGATGTTTGTAGTGTGTGATACTGTTTGTGGATTCGTTGTAGATCATTGCTTTATAACCCTTAAACAAATTTGTACTGCAACTTTTTATTTTATTCTGTCATTTCAAACCATGCCAATTAAAGTTTGAAAAACAAGTAAGAGCAATACACACACAAATGTATGTATATAATGATGATTGAAGGCTAACAATGTCATTCCTACAGTCCATTTGTTTTAACAATAGAAAAAGGTAATCTCTCTTTCTGTTCTCCCGCTTCTCTTTCCTCTTTAGGGGGCACAGCTTGTGTATTTAGCGGTCAACCTTTGGACACGGCTAAGGTGAAAATGCAGACATTCCCCACTTTGTACAGAGGCTTTGTGCACTGCTTTGTGTCTACATACAGACAGGTGGGCCTTCGAGGGCTGTATCAAGGTACCACACCGGCCCTCATGGCCAACATCGCGGAGAACTCTGTGCTCTTCATGTGCTATGGCTTTTGCCAAGAGGTGGTTCGCTTCATCTCTGGTCAGGAGAAAGGGGCTGCGCTCAGGCAAGTTCTATCTGTATTATGAACAGTACATTTACATTTATGCATTTTGGTAGATGGTTTTATCCAAAGCGACAGGGTTAAAGGGTTAGTTCACCCAAAAATCAAGTCAAGTCAAGTCAAGTTGAGCTTTATTGTTATTCTGCTGCATGTGGGGACGTACAGTGGAACGAAATGTCGTGCCTTCAGCAGCGTGAAGAGCAGTTCACGCTGCAAATGAAAATTAGTCTGTGTTTTACTCTCCCTCGAGGCATCCTAGGTGTATATGACTTTCTTCTTTCAGACGAATCCAATCAGAGTTATGTTAAAAAATGTTCTGGCTCTTCCAAGATTTATAATGGCAGTGAATGGGTGTTTCAATCAGAGTTATGTTAAAAATTGTCCCGGCACTTCTAAGCTCTGTCATTGCAGTGGGCGGGGGTTTCTGTTCAACAGTCCAAAACACGTTAAATAAAGCGCGCACATCCGTAATAAAACGTGTCTCACACGGCTCCGGGGCATGAATAAAGGCCTCCTGTAGCGAATCCATGCATTTTTTAAAGAAAAATATCCATATTTCAAATGTAATAAACACTTTTCTCTCACTTCTGCTGACTGTCGTATGTGGAAATATTCTGGCGGATGACGTAGGACGTATGTGTTGCGCACGCCTCTGAGATATGCTAGTCTCACAAGTTTGTTTAAGAGAGCAAAGTTTATTTACTTTAGCAAAGGAAAACCAGTCTCCTCTTGGCTTATATTGAAATCCGCCGATATTTTTCTTTACAAATCCTCGTTTTGTGCTTCTAATTCCTGATCGGCGTTTTGTTTTGTTCTCTCTCCACGTTCGTCACTAATCACGCAACGCTGATGTCATCCGCTGGAACTGCTTCCGCGTATGACAGATGGCGGAAGTGATAGAAAAGTGTTTATGACATTTGAAGTATGGATGCCCACTGCAATGACAGAGCTTAGAAGAGCCAGGATAATTTTTAATATAACTCCGATTGGATTCATCTGAAAGAAGAAAGTCGCATACACCTAGGATGCTTCGAGGGTGAGTAAAAGTAATTTTTGGGTGAACTAACCCTTTAAAGTTATACAATTTATCCGTTCACACATTCCCTGAAAATCAAAGCCATGACCTTGGAGTTGCTAGCGCCGTGCTCTACTGTTTGAATAGTATCTAATAATTAGTTGCTAAAAAGTTTCAATTATTTATTGGAAGCTCTAAAATAAATGCATGATGGAAGGGTTTTGTCTTTATTTATTTATTTATTTATTTATTTATTAAATTGAAAAGTTATGCAGAGGAGGTAGATAAGTTTTTTTTTTTATATATATATATAATTAATGAATTCTCTGCAGATAAAGTTGTTCCATTGGGTTGTACATATTCAAAATGAATTTTAAATGGCTTAGGATATTATTTTAAATATTAAATACTTTTTTTTTGTTGATATTTTTGTCTAAATATTTTTGTATTTTTTTCCCTAAAAATGTGTATATTGCAATACAACACTGTTAAAAAGTTTGGCGGTCAATAAGATTTGTTTTTAGAGTTTTAAAATAATTTTCTGATCAGATCACAGAGGCTGCATTTATTTGATTAACCCCTTAACTGTCACCGTCCCAGTAGTAAAGTCCCTGTGGGACGCTTGGTGCTCTTTTTGTTGTTGTCCTTTTTCTCTATCCATCTTTTAGTAATCATAATAAATTATATATCATTTGAAAGCTTAGAAGCCCAAGATTCATCCTGTGAAAACCAGTTTGAAATCGTACATTGCGTTACCATGGAAATGGTACTTTAAAATCTTTTGGCGGTCTCCTCCCCCTTAGTGGGCAGTGTCAAGTGTCATATTACAAAATGCGTTACGGTCTTTTAGAATCGAACCTTTTTATAATCTTGAAAAAAAACATATAATTGGAAAGGTCTGAGTCTCAGGATATTTTGAGATAGAAGTAATATTGACAGTGAAATCTAGACATTTGTGACAAAAAAAAATGCATAAATAAAATTCAATGGAGTTTGGATGGCACCCAGTGGCTGTTTGTGGTATGATGCCCTAAATAAAATCTCACAGGAACCTCAGTTTTTTTTCATATCAACTTCAAATTTGGAACATAACTTATTCAGACATAAGGCTTTAATTTTATACCAATTTTAGAGTAAAAGCTGTTATGTAAAATATTTATTATAAATAAAATAAAATTAATATAGTGCATTTTATTTACTGTAAATTTAAACTTCTGTAACTTTTTGATATTTTTTGAGGTCTGTATTCCAAAGTGTTCATAAATTACAACAATTTAAGTTTGGATAGTGCACTTTCATGCCTATTTTAAAAAATGGGGGTTGACCGTTAAGGGGTTAATATACTGGAAAAACTGAAATATTTCTATTTAAAATACCTGTTTTCTATTTGAATATATTTTAAAATGGGATTTATTCCTGTAATGGCAAAACTGAATTTTCAGAAACCATTACCCCAGTTTTCAGTGTTACACGATCCTTCAGAAGTCATTCTAATATGCTGCTTTGCTGCTCAAGAAACATTTCTATTATTATCAATGTGCTGCGTAATATTTTTGTGGAAACTTTGATGGAAACGTCTATTCTTTGCTGAATAGAAAGTTCAAAAGAATGGCATTTTTGTAATAGACATTATTTTGTA